TCATTAAAAATAAAAATACGCACACACACACATTCATTTCTACTGTTTAATTTGTCCAATTTAGCTTGAGAGAAGGCGGCTGGAGAGTCAACTTTTTGAGCCTGTGAAAAGAATATTCGCCCAACTTTGCAGATCCTTCCGACCCACTGATAAACTCAATCATCTAGTCAATATATTTCAGTGCATTGATTCTCAGGTGTGCTCAATATTCGACCAATACTTGAGTACTCATTAACTTCCAGAATTTGAAATTTTTGAACTTTCAACTTAGGTTTCCTTAAGTCTGTCGTCGTCCGACCATCTAAAGGATTCCTCGGATCCGGGTAAGCTTTGCTATCTTATTTTAAACTAACCAATCATCGCACTTCATAAGAATCAATTATTATTATTTATAAATTATTAGGTCTATTATGTGCTTAGAATTCTAAGAAAACAAATTAATCCCTTAAAAACTATTGCCGATTGTGCCCTTTACAAATTTTATGAACAAAGTTTCTTTGCAAATGGCAGGCTTCGTGATATTTATAATTAGCCCTTAAACCTTGACTTCAGCTTCCCCCATGGGTGGGAGGGGGGAGTATATATTTATATATATATATATATATATAGCAGTTAATTAATGGCAGTTCATTAACTGTCCTCTTGCTTCCCAGTATCTCTGGCTTTCCGTCGTTGTCTTCAGGGCTGGACACCGAATCAGGTGGGTCTTCTCCATTTCCTCCTGTAGGTTACATGGGGGTGCATGTTGGTTGAGTGTATACTCCCAATCTGTGAAGGTGTTTTGCCAGGCAATCGTGTCCGGTACGTAGTCTAAACTCAGCAACGGCTTCGATTCTTGGCCAGTCGGCTGTGTCGGAGATTGCCACTGTCCACTGTTTCTCCTTTGTTCGAGCTTTAAGTTCGTTGCACATCGAGGTCTTGAATTATCTCCTGATTATGGCCTTCATTGTGTGGAAAGACATCGACCGGTCCATACATTGCAAAATCGTTGTCCCCTTCTTAGCTAGTGCGTTAGCAAGCTCATTGCCTTTAATGCCACAGTGACCAGGAATCCATTGTAGGACCACTGTTTTGTTTTTCTCTCAGCAGTTGATATAGTTTTCTTCATTCGTTTATCTCAGCTGTTTTGGGTGGCTCTCTGTTTTCAATTGAGTTTATTGCTGACTGTGAGTCCGAAAGTACTACTGTTTTGTGAACTTCGCATCGAGGCAACATAGTTGGCTTAGTGCCATCCTAATGGCCTCTTTAAGAACGAAGTTTGTTAAGAGACATGCTTTAGAATATGGAGAAACCCGCAATCATCAATTGGGCCCATGTGCTTCATTTTAAGCGTTTGAGTCACAATTTGTACTGCTTGATTGCTGCGATCCCTAGATATTAACTCATCACGAATAGTACTGTTGGATAAGATCGTGTCGTCTGGTAGTATTTTTTCTTAACAACAGGAATTTTTGAAATATTTCCTAGCCTAAAAGGATGAGAATCGATATTCATTCTGTGGGATATAGTTTGAAAGTACATAGAACTATTTGAAGCTACTTCTAAGATAGAAATTCTAAGTGTGCCTCCTTGCATTTTAGCAAAACTGACGCTATATGCCATCGTGTTTGCACTGACGGACCTTCTAAAACCATCCAAGCGTCTCTATGACAAAATTCGGAATCAAATAGCAGAAGGCAACACCTCCGATATCAGTCGAATTGAAGTGCATCGGCTTTACTTAGAAGCTCTCATTTCACCAGCTTGCCTTGCATCCAGTGCGGAAGGATGCCGACGGCTCACGGAGCTTATTTGTCTCCTTCGGTATATTGACAATTTCAAGAGATATGGATCCCCAGCTGATGAAATACGAATCTTATGCCTACGTCGGATCCATTCGACAGAACTAGAGGTGGGATTTTCAAGGTCATGCTGGTATTGTGGTCGATTTTCTATCTCTCCATTAATTTAGCAATTATTGGTCACTTTCAGGAGATCCCATGGAGTCCAAATCTTTATAAACTCAGACGATCTTTCACGGATAATATTCAAGAGGCCCTTCAGCGAAGCACTCATCAAACTTTGACAACTGGTAGCTTTTCACCGCCTTCTTTGAAGAAATCGACTAGAAAAATATGTGATCGTGATGGGAGTATTAAAACAACTAGTTCAATATCAATTTCTGGTTCATCTTTCATTGTTCTTGCGGCGATGGAATCAAAGAAGACACTTGTTCCCTTTGAAGTTCCTCTACGATCCAGCATGACAGTTCGAGAGCTGTGTAAGTTTTCTTGAGTTTTTACAAATTAAATGAATCACTACAAATAATGCATTGCTTAGAGAGGGATTGCATATTCCATTGTTCGATATTTCCACTCAGACTTTATTTGCCTATTTGCCAAAAGGATCAAAATGTACTCCAGTGAATTAAATCATTATGGCCAGTAAAGCAAATAATTGTTGATAAGAGGGATAGTAGATGTACTTTTACCATAAGGACTAAAGTGAGCCGAGGTCACCTATTCAGAAGTTAAGCTTTTTGTTTGGCGGACAACGGTAAACATGTCCTAAGAGTAGAGTGCCGTTCAAGGTCTTTTGAGTACGAGACAGTAAGAAAGAAATTAGAGGGCTTGAAACAGAGATTGAGAAAAACAGAATGATCGTACAAATTAATAATAGACGCTTTATAATATTGTTTGGGGGGGGGGGGGGGGGAAANGGGGGGCAATAGCATTAAGACGTGGGGGGAGTAGGGGAGAATTGGGGGAGGGGAGAGGTGCAAGAGGGGGAACTGTACTGATGGATAAATGATAAGCACGTGAGCTTGTGTGTATGCATAAAATTGGGAGTTAAGCGGTTTCAAGGAGAAGAATTAGCGTAAACGAATGGAATGCTTCCGTCTATCTCTCTTTTCTGGGAAATTGAGCTCTAATAATGGTCACTCAGGCACCACTTAAGTGGCTTTTCCAACTAATTAAAGGAAACCATATGCAGACACACGAGGTCCCTTAGTGAATTAACCACTTCAATTACCAATATGAGATTGGTAGTAGCCTTGAGATTCCCGAAGGATCAAACACTTCACGTTCCACTGGCAGATGATGATCTTGAGAAAAAGAATCATCGAAACATGGGAGATCAACCCCTAATACTTTCCTTTAGCCCAAATCAAGTGATGCTAACACCACTGATCGGGTGTTTTCTAAGACTCCATACTAGTTTTACTTTCCCATTTTAGGCAACATGCTGGCTTTAAAACTCGCGGTTTTCGACTCAAAGGAGTTCACGTTATTCTTTCATTCGGCTTCAGCAGGCACGTACCTGTTATAATATAACGCAAATCAGAACTTTTTACCATAATATGCAAGTTCTTTTAGATATCCCCATGTCAGATAATCTTCACCTGGAATCTTTCTTAACTCAAAACTATGGCGAGGAATGTGGTTTTTCTGTCAGCTCCCTCGCAAGTATTGAAAGCTTCTGTGAGAATTCCTCCCAACCCTCCACACCCAAAATGTCCAATATCCGACGCATATTTCGGCGTCGAAAGCGCATTGCCAGCTCTGATTCCGCGTTAAGGTGGTTGGAGTCTCCAAAACCTTCTCGTCGGTGCTTTATCGAGGGTCAGGATGAAGAACGACGACCTTCCGTAGATTGGAGCTCATTGGGCAGAAAAAATCCCCACTTCGTTCTTATTTACCGTCGTCGGAGCTATGATGTCGTGCTCTATGCCAATGATTTATTTGAATGTCTTCCCAGTGCTGGAAAACTCATCTAAATAGCATTATTTGTTTGTAAATATTTGTGGGAACTTTATGAGATTAGATTATCACCTTAATAATATATACTATTAAACTAACTTTTAAAAATCGCCTTGAAAACCTTTGCACCGCTAAATTATGTCATAGATTGAATGTGCATTAGCTATAGCGAATGTCAAACGCCTAAAATTTATAGTCATAATCATTTATTCGGCATAATTTTTTGAATAAATGACTGTAAATAGGTGAATAGTTCAATAAATTATCACGACTCTCCTTCAGAAATCTCTTTCTGTGACTTCTTTTACACTCTCGAATTATTATAATTAAGATTTTGTACTACTTAATATGAACCAGTAGAATGTTTGGGATGGATTATTCATCTTATTTCATTCATTTATTCATTCATTTATTTTTTGTGATTGAGATGATTCATATTTCTTTCATTGGTGATTTACTTCGTTTATAGAACTTATAATTTACTTACAATAAATGCAATAAATCCGGATTTTTGCCGTTTTATTTGCTTAACTTAAACACAATACAACTCCAAAATTTTTTTCACAAACATTAAAACAACATTTGATCGCTCATTAAACTTGCTTATTTGTCAAAATTTACCTCAACAAACTTTGAGAAAATTGGTGAAATCTGCTCAATCCTGTCTTATTATTGAAGGTTGGTATCAAAAACGCGGACTCACGGTGGTTATTACAACTATGTGAATCAAAATTGGGGAAAATATTGATTTTCTTTTTTCAGTTAGTTCAAATTTGTTTGATTACGGAAGTAACCATGACCTTGCATTTGTAAGGTTTATAATATAGGACAAGGGGTGCGCAATAGACTTACCTCCACGTGGTGCACTTGGGAAACGTATCTTCGTATGGCAAAAAGTCTTTTAACCGGAAATTGACTTCTGACTTCAAACTACCACTGTATGTCAAATTCGACCACTTCAACAGTACCTTACCTTATCTTACTTTTTCTCTGCATTTGTGTCCATCTGTCTCTTTACATTTGTGAATCACTCCACATTCCACCCCCTCTGTGAAGTTCGAAGTCAGCTAAAGGGCTAATGATAACTGCCAAAACGCCTGCCATTTGAAATAAATAATAAAGGAGAATCTTTGTGAAAATACTTCCCTTAGCTAATGCACAGAGGCTGGAAGAAGTTGAGTGAAATCATTTTGCTAAAAAGTTTAACTATGGATGCTGGAAACATGATCAGAAATTACGTAGATTTGACAAACCTCAATTTCATGTCAACTGAGAAGGCTTATGTGAACACACCGACATTTGCCAGAAAATACGAGTGCCGGCGAGGTCCACTCGAAAAGCGTTGTCGGTTCTGAGGACAGTCAACATTTCTGTAGGGAATCAGATCGCGCGATGATGACGTCACTGGCGATTTTAATATTTACAAAAGCTTTTATTTCTTGAAAATAACGAAAATTTCTTCTACTTGGCAAGACGGTAATAAAATACCAGCTTATAGGGTTCAAAAATAGCTGAACAAATCATACTTTGTGAACTCCGAGGGAAATTCCCAGCCATCTAATTTTGCGCAGTTTATGCGAACATTTCAATTTAAAACTTGACTCTTCAACATGCCGCGGATTTTAATGAATCACAAAGGTTTTATTAAGTAATTTTAATTATAGGCCCTTCTTAAATCAGGAAATATGGCAGCGTGGGAAGCATGCCGAAGGTCATAAAAGGACGCTGTGTGCTCTGAGTTGACCTCAAGGTCACGAAAATTGTTTACCACGGGTGTGAAAATCATTCCTCTATCCGGCTAAACATTGGCATACTTACCAAACGCCTAGTAAACACCATTGTGCCATTAAAAATGCAAATATTTTCCTGAAAAAATCTCTCTTTAATAAAAGGGCATTTTATTATTTATTTATATCAAATGACAGGCGTCTTGATGGTTATCATTAGCCCTTTAGTTGACTTCAGACTTCACAGAGGGGAAGGAACATCAAAGCGAAAAAGGCCGAGGGGGGGGGGGGGGGAGAAGAAGAGAGTTTCAAAGATGTACAAGAGACAGACACAAAAGTAGAAAATAGCTGAGGTGAGTACTGTGGAAGTGGTGGAATATGATATACAGTGGGGTCATGGCAGTTTGAAGTGAGAAGTCAACTGCCGGTTAATAGACTTTTTTGCTGTTTGAGTATGCGTTGCCCAGGGTGCACCACACGGAGGTAAGTCTATCGCACACCCCACATTTTATTATAAATAGCAGATATCACTGAGTGTAGTTGTAATATTAACACCACTCTGAAGTTGAAATTTCACTTCAATACAGGGTTAAATTATAATTATGAAGATTTTAAAAAAGGTGACACCATTTTCACAGGATTATACCCAACGAGAAAAAGTGTTAGCCCCTTTTGTTTCATTCTCGTAACTGAAAATGGAGTTTCCCACAGACAAATTAGAGATTTGTAAACCAACGTTTAAGTTACAAGTACCCCTAGCTTTTCCTATTATACAAACACAATATTTCGAGTGAGGGTGTGGGATAGACTCAACTTCTCGTGGTGCTCCCTGGGCAACGTATAATCATATGCCCAAAAAGTCTTTTAACCGGCAGCTGACTTCTCACTTCAAACTACTACAACCTCCACTGTATGTCATATTCGACCCCTACCCCAGTACTCATCTTACCCTTTCTGAGCCTTTGTGTCTGTCTGTTTCTTTTACATCTGTGAATCACTCTTCTATTCCCCCTTCCGAATTCTACTCACTTTGATGTTCCTCCTCCCCTCATTGAATCCCGAATTCAACTAAAGGGCAAATGATATCTATCAAAACGCTTGCCATTTTTTATAATTTTTTATAAATATTTCGAGTGGACAAAGTCATATAAATGTAAACGTATTGTCATATTTAAGGTGTGTTGTTGAAAACGACAATCGAAGGAGAACATACCCAAAAATAGCCAAGTCCGTGAGTGGAAATAAAGTGGAAGTGGGCGAAGCTCCCTATTTGCAGAATGATAAAGTTGAAAAGTTGCCGAGTAAGCTTGAAAGAACTATTATTTCTGACAAGACAAACTCACTGTTTTCGTTAATCTAAGGTAAACAGCTTTAATCAATTCTAATAACTTCAATCAAAATACTACTGCCAATATTTTTTCATTAAGAATTAGTCAGGTTAAGGTAGATATCGATGAGAAAAATATTTTTACCAAAAGAATATTGGGTCAGTGACTACTTTTGTTTTGGTTCCTTATGGCTCACAATATTTTAAAGCACCTCTATCGACTT